TCAATCTCGCCTCGAGCTAACCGTCTACTCTGCTTCAGTCCCTGCATGGTAGTACAGATATGAGACCCACATCCAGTATCTAGTACCCATGATGAAGATATAGACATGTTAACTTCTATAACATACACCTCAGAAGAAATGGTCGTACCTTCCTTCTTCTTGGTTGCGAGGTATGTCTTGCAGTTTCTTCTCCAGTGGCTTGCCTTACCACAGTGATGACATTTGCCCTTTGCAACTCCTCCTATGGGTTTCTGGGTTGCAGATGAAGTGGACTTCAATTTAGGCTTTCCGACCATCCTAGCCTTAATCTTAACCCCTTCTTCGGCTTCCCCTTTCCGCCTTGGACCATAAGGACGGAAGCACCCTTGCCCTTAGTAAGGTTCTCCTCTACAGTCTGGAGCATTTTAAGAAGCTCCGGAAGGGGTTTGTCAAGATCATGCATCATGTAGTTCATGAAAAAACCCTTATACAGCTCAGGGAGCGACTGCAGGATCAAGTCCGTTGCCAGCTCCTTCTGCAAGGAGAACCCGAGTTTCTCCAGATTGGTTATGTAACCAATCATTTTGAGAACGTGCGGACAGACCGGGTTCCCTGAAGAGAGCTTGCAACTAAAGAGATCCTTACTTACGAGAAAACGTTCATGCCTCGTGCTGTTTTTGCAGCTCGGTTATCATGGTAGCCAGCATGACACAGCTAACCTGGTTGTCATCCTTAACGTGTTTCTCGTAGGCATCTTTGACCGCTTTCGGGGCGTTAGTGGGAGGTAGGGATGGCAATTCAACCCGAACCCGAGCTTAACCGACCCGACCGACCACTAAAATATCCGAACCCGAACCGAGAATAAAATAATCCGAACCCAACCCGAAAGTTTTTACCCGAACCCGACATCGGGTCGGGTCGGGTGTGGGTTTATTATTTTACCCGACCCGACCCGAACCCGCACCCGACCCGACTCAAACCCGAATATTTTATAACATAAAAGCCTATCTATAGATATAATGAGCACTCCGTATAATCTCTTGACAAAGTGCTACTATATCAAGTATGCCATTTATAATCATTTTTATAATTCCTTAATAAAAAAATGAGACACAAAAAAATTAGATTTAATCTTTTTAAAATT